CATTTACCCATGACAATTAATATTAAATGTAGGTCTCGGTATTTCCGAGTTTGAATGAGGTACACGTTTTGCTCTCAGATGACAAGATAGAGTAATTTATGCCAAAACGAACTGAGAAAACTGCAGGTTTCTAACTCTTACGGTTTAGATGCTATCTAGCCTCATTTAGAGAGCAGAAATCGTGATTTTTTTCAAAAACAACTGAATATCTCGAAAACGGTAAGTTTTAAACACCATGTACACTTAATAAACTCTACATAATATTAACCAAGGAATTCAAAAATGCAATAATATACAGGATGTTCCATTTAAATAACAAAGTTATGTAGCGTCCACGCGAAATGGAACACCCTGTAAAGCTAAAAATATTTTCTTTACATGGCCCACATGTTTCCAGGCAACTTTTATTAAAACCATTTTTTTACAAATTTTACAATTGCAGAGTTACAGAAGAATCCCTCTTAGAAGGGGAACACCCTGTATAGATTTTAGAAATACTGGCCTCTCGTTCATAAATTATGACTACGGTATCGCTTTCAGCTGGTGAAAGTACCTTGGAAATGATATGTGAGATATTATGTAGAGTAAATTCAATTTTGGACTGATTGAGCAATTTTTGGGTCCGTTTTTATCATCAACATAGCTTTTACAATCATGATAATGGCCAGTCTGACTGCGAAGTCGTTTTTAGCTGGTTATAATACGTCGGAAATGATATGTCAGATAGTATGTAGAGCAAAATCAATTTTGGATTATGATTGAGCAATTTTTGGGTCCGTTTTTACCCTCAATATAGAATTTACAAAATACTGGCCGGTTGTGTATAAATTCTGACTACGGTATCGTTTTTAGTTGATCAAAATACGTCGGAAAAGATATGTGAGATCTTTGGGTTTGTGCTTTTTTGTGTGCCTGATCTTCTATTAATTAAAATGTCCAACCCTAAATATTAGTAGCCAAACGTTGACTAAATGTATGTTTTAACGATTATTGGCAAAATGAGTAGCACTACCGTAGTCTACATCTTCGCATCCGAGGTTTTTTTATGTGATGGTGTAATTAAGCCAGATTAATTGATGCATATTCTGGTAGGTATAATTGTTTTATCGCCTTCGTGGTATTCCATAAACATTTTATTTTGTTCAGTCAATTTTTAATATTTCCATCCACTTTTTGCCTTCATCTTTCCAACGTTTACGCCGTTATGACAGACTAAATTTTTTTAAGAAATTTTTATGGTAAACAAGATCATCAGAACGCCCCTGGGCCTTGACGGCATGACAGTGGCGGCTTGTGCGGGAGGGCTCTAGGGCACCCCCTCACCTTTTTTTCATAGTAAAAAAAATTAATTTAAAATTTACTTTACAATGTTATTTAGATAATTAAACAGATCAGCCTTATCAAACACAATAAGAAGGAAATGTTAAATTTGTAATGTGCAGTCAATTTAACTCGACTTGCAGAATTTATTTGAAAAACACAGAATACGTGGGCTCCTCACAGCTTGCCTCTACGTCTGTAAAGTGCTTACATTGGTGGTCATGGTTACCGTCGCGCAATGGAGAAAGATGGAGTGGGAATATGAGCTCATATTTATTATGCAGTTTGGGCTCTTATTGTCAGTCTGTAACCAAATAATAGCAATTCACCGGTTTTTTTCTTATTAAACATAATTTTTACGTGTAATGTAAAATTATGTTACCACCTACTTATTGTTTCTTGTTTTTAAAAGAACAGCACTTGCAATGCTATCTATTCAAAAATGAAGCTTTAATGAAAAGCTTATCGAAAAATTTATTTCGGACAAAAGAAGAATGGATTTTTACTGTTAATAATAATGTTGGGCACATTTTTTCTAGATTTCAATAGACAGTATTTAAAATAAATCTACCCAATTATAATTTTTAATCTTTTAATCTTTTTTTAATACTTTGTACCTAAATTTTTCCGCCCTCCCTTGTATAGAAGTCAAGAACCGCCACTGGGTCATGGCTCTGTGGTTAATCAGGCCCTGAGTAAAAGCATTTACCAGCTTTCATGCATGCGGGCCATGAAAGGTCGCCCAAAATGCTCCTACCTTCGTCTAAAACATGGGAGGGCATGATCTGCATGCAAATGCAATTATAAAAATGTGGGGCATAGTCTCGTTACTATCACACTAGATTTTAGCATGTGGCGGTTCCGGTAATAAGGTAATAGGATTAAACGAGGACGCGTTCAGCGTTGAATTTAAATATTTGATTGCCTGGGCGGTGTTAATTGTTTTATTAATTAATGAGTTTTCAATAAAACGAACAGATGTCAACGGGCCGGACATCCAGGCCGGCGTGCTTTATGGAAATTTAATTTTCCAAAATGACGGTTGCGGCTGAGAGTTAATCACTTTTCCGACCGAAAATAGCTGAAAACACCCAAACAAGGTGGTTTAGCAACGGATGTTTAGCCGAAACGTAAATTGGACGAGAAAAATATGGAAATAATAGGTACTGGAAGCGTTAAAATAAATAAAATAACACCCACTCGCAAATTGGCGTCCAATTTATTGTGTTATGTTTTCAGTTAGCAAGTAGATATTTGTTTTCTAAATACAGTGCTATTAAGTACGTTTCCATAATAAAAGGGATTACTCAGTTAATTCTAAGAAAAAGATTCCTATGAACATATACAAGGTCTAATCAGAAATTAACTGAACTTTTTGAATTACGCGCTAATGGAGATATTTAGTGATATGCGGTTGGCAGCATTGCGTTGCGCATAACCACATGTTTTTGGATTGTTGATATCTCATTTTTCGTGATATTGTTATTTGAGTGCAACATGTTTAAGTGTTAGTGACGATTTTTAAAATGTGCGCTTTTCTTGAACGATGCAACATAGAATTTTGCGTGAAACTGGGGAAAACTTTCACGGAAACGATTCAGCTTTTGAAGCAAGCTTACGGAGATGCTGCTCTGGGTCGTACGCAATGTTACGAATGGTTTTCAAGATTTAAAAGTGGTCGTCAGTGAAGAAGATAATTCTCGAGGTGGCCTTCGACTTCAACTGATGATTCTCACGTTCAGAAAGTCAAAGATCTGGTGCGTGTAAATCGCCGATTGACTGTCAGAGAAATTACAGAAGAAGCTATGGCCATGACGATGAAACATTCATTCAGAGGATCATAACGGGAGACGAAAGCTAGATTTACGGCTACGACAAAAGCTGAATCTTCACAATGGATTGGCAAAGGATCTCTACGCCCCAACAAAGCACGACAGTCTCGATCCAATATCAAAGTGATGCTCACTGTTTTTTTCGATTTTAATGGAATTGTGCATTTTGAATTCTTTCCTGAAGGTGAAACAGTGAACCGTGTGTACTATCAAGGCGGATTATGACGGTTACGTGATAAAATCCACTATGGCAATGCACCCGCACACTCAGCTTTGTCAATCCGTCAGTTTTGTGCCAAAAAGCCAGATTACTGTCTTCTCTCGCCCTCCTTACTCGCTAGACCTAGCTCCTTGTGACTTTTTCTTGTATCCGAAATTAAAATCAGTGCTGAAAGGACGCCGTCTTCAGACTATGGCATCAAAGCAAAGTCGCCATAGATTTTAAAGTCCATTTCAAATGAAGCTATTCAGGACTCATTCGCGAAATAGAAACACCGCTGAGAAAAGTGTGTGAATAGGGGAGGGGAGTACTTTGAAGGAGACAAAGACCAATAATGTATTATTATTTTCTGAACAGACTTCGTATGTTCTATGCGATTTAGTTTCCGAAGATATTTGCTTCTATTGCTTCAACTGCAACAGATGATTTATATAAATTTGATGCACTAGAGTGTACATTTCATTATTGATCTATCAAATATTCTTTCATCACAATAGGCGTAGGTAAGGGTATGCAATAACGTATTTATTGGAAAAAAATGGCACGTCACTAATTTTGGCAGATTTTTAAGGCAAATCCTTAAAGTTTTATAATAAACTGAAAATTTTCTCTCTGAAGATGTTGCTAGAAACAGCCATTGTCGAACAAATTACAAAGAAAAAAAATATATTACAGCTAAAAAGAGGTTGTGAAATTAACTATTTTTAGAAGTGGGATATGTTTCAAATTTAGTTGATGGAAAATATCTGACTTTGTTTTGTGTGCGTTTCTAATTATCTGAATTTTAATATTGCCAATATTTCGTTTAAAGTCTAGTTGGATCTCCTGTATCCAAAGTACTCTTTGTAAAACTAGGTAACATGGTATTACATAAGAAAAAATCTTGCATGCCTTTTCTCTGTCCAGAACCAAGGCTAATACGGTATTTCTGAATTCCTCACAAAAAGTTTCCTTTGAGATTAAAACGTCCAACATTTTAAATTTTAGATTAAAATAATAAAAAAGGAAATCTACATTTTCAGTTTTTCTGTGTGTTCTGCTGAAAACCAACAGGAAATTGAACTGTTTTGTCTGAAGTCTAAAGCGACCTATAAGATGCATGCAGCAATCCTTGTTTTTCCTCGAATCATGTGTTCAACGAATGTTTCATAAAATTAAGTACCATACCTATAAAATCGCCCTTATTCAAGAGTTGACCGAGAACGATATATTTAATTGTCTTCAGTTTTGTAAAGATTTTTTGAGAAAGCATATAGATGACACAGGACGTCTTTTTATGAGTGATGAGGCGAATTTTTGTCGTCTATATAATCATGTAAAAAGACAAAATATCAGTTACTGGTCAAGAGAAAATTCATGAAAAATTAACCAAAGACAACTGCATTCGCCTAAAGTTACAGTTCAAAGGTTAGAATTATTGGGCTCTATTTCTTTGAAACAAACTATCATTCTGTTTTTTTGTCAACTTTGATGCCCTCTTGCGGTTAAACAAAGCAACTTCAGATGGAGGTAAATTGAGTTAAATCTGCTTATTTGAATTGCAGCAAATTATGGTACGCACACTGTATCTATTATTTACTTGGCCTACTTGTTCTCTACATTTGAGTATCAAAGGAAATCAAAAATACCTGTACCGCTAGCAGCCGCCAGTCCCCCGGCTATGCCCCCTGCCGCAGGATTCTTGACAGCCTGTTGCGTTCCTGCGGTGATGACCTGCCGTCTCCGGATGCGCTTCCTGGCCGTCTGGAATATCCTCCAGTACAGTATGAGGATAACCAGCAGCGGTAAGTAGAACGAAGACGCTGTGGCGAAGATCTGGTAGTAGAGGTCCTGGCTCACCAGACACTTTTTGTCGCGTATCCTGAGCTCCCAATTGGGGTCCTTCCAGCCTAGCAGAGGCGCTATGCACACTAAGAAGGAGACCAGCCAGATGATGAAGATCATCATTCCTATCCGCTTTGACGTGCGCTGGTGTATGTAGTCTATGTTGGTGACGGCCCAGTACCTGAAACAATATACAGGGTGTAAAATTAACGTTGCTACAAATTGTCACGGCTGATTCCTCTCGTGAAAAGAAACGGAAAACTAGATCAATAAAATGATTCCCAATTTCAATTGTTTTGTATTAATTTCTCAATAAATAGAGTAATTTTTCATTCAAATAAACGTAAAGTTGTGCAAAACTTTAAGATGTTATTCCATTGTGGTGAAAATGTAACTAACTCGGCCAATTAGTTTAAAAGTTTGTGTCAAGTCAATGGAACGATTAATTGGTAAATACTTTATTGATTTTATTCAATAATAAATGCCCAATGGCATATTGTTCCTCCAAAACAGCACGGCTTCTTCCAAAAAAATCGACTGTCACTTGTCTTCTAGATGTAGCTAACACCTGGACGAAAAGTTTAGATAAATTTCCGGTAAATGTTATTTACTTGGATTTTATAACAGCTTACGATCAAGTACCAAAAAATTGATTAACACCTAATACAACATTGATATTTATTAATTAGAGGAAATGTTCTGGGATAGGATAAAGTTCTTCGATAAATCGCTTCTTTTCTATTAGATTTATATTTTACTCAAATGTCAGTATGTTGAGATGTTCCTCAAGGATCCGTTCTTGGACTAATTCACTTTATTATCTACGGACTTGACTTTGTTACATTGTTACAAATACTCATTTCTTTTTTTATCTATTTATCTATGTATCACATATAACCTTCATAAATGATTACAAGTCACGAGACCAACAATAGTATGGTTACTGTTCTATTTCCTTCACGTTGACAATTAAATTTAGGTAAAATTAAAATTTATTAAAACAATAAGATCAAGATTACATTATAACACAACATTCTGTTTCACCGGCTGCGATTAGTGAATCTTCACGTAACTCTAGTCAACCGATCAGCGATAGCATTATCTTGAGCGTGATAACGGTTTGTCACTGTTCGTTGCAAACGAATCATTAATGAAGCAAACAAGTGAAGCAAATATTTAGGAAATGTTCGTTACCAGTACCAGCTCTACAATATTGGTTGCATAAGCTCGGCGGTTACGTGACTTGTAAACATTTATGAAGGCTTTGCATTAATAGGAATCATCTTTTTATTAAGTTGTGCCGTAGAATTTTGGCCAACCATTTCAGTCATAATCTGTATTTGTACATTTTTAATTGACAATAGGAGTACCTAGATGGACTAGTATGAAACTAATAGAGTCGAAATCTTGGAAACTAATACATAATTGAGTTTGAAAGAATTTTGATGCCACTGGGTATTTTGGAAATTTAAAGTTCGTTTATTTCATAATTCTATTTCAAAGAAAAAGGATCTCCATCATTTTATTCGTAAAATGAGATACTTTCGAGTAAATATTTCGTATAGTCTAAAATAAATATAAGTAGACAACTCTCAAACTATTCATTTCACAAAAACACAGATTTTTTAATTCCAAATGCAATATAACATACCGAGAGACAGTAAGGGGCAAATTCCTACACCACTGAATTTTCCGATGATTATTTAAAATTATAATCTGGAAAAAAATAGTACAGTTTTTTTGAACAGTTTTAGAAATATTTTCGATGAATTCAACTATGTGACAACTTCATTTTACATAAAAAATACTTAAACTTAAAAATAACTCGTTTTTCTAATAAGATATCTTCTTTTTTTTCTTTAAAGTGCAGTTCCAAATAAAATGAAGTGTAGAATAGAAAATATTCAGTGGCGTCGAAATTATGGGTTGTTCTACATGTGCTACATAAAAACGTAAGAGGAGAACATTATCATTAATTATTTTGTAAGATACTGTTGCATTATTTGAATTAAAAAAAAATTGCAGTGGCCATATACAGGGTGTCGCACTTAAATGTGATACAAGCCTGTAACTTCTTTGTTTTTTGACCGATTTCAATTTTTTTTTTAGAATGTAGGATAAAAAAACTATCTAACTTCACAAAAACAGATTACGTATTCTCATTCAGCATCCCTTAAAATGTCTTATTACCAAGTTTCATCAAATTCGATACATCTTCAGACGAGCACTAGTTGGCCGTGTATTGCATTAATAAAAAAACAGCACTATCATAGTCGGAGAGAATTTTTTTTTACCTTACATTTCATAAAAAAAATTTTTAATCGGCCAAAAAATAAAGAAGTTACAGGCTTGTATTACATTTCGCGACATCATGGAGTGCTCGCCTGAAGTTGTATCGAATTTGATGAAACTTGGTGGTAAGACGTTTTGAGGGATGCTGAATGAGAATACGTAATCTGTTTTTTGGAAAAAAAAAGTCGCTAATACCAATCAGCTGTTTTGATGTCAAGAAAACGCGTCCTAGTTGTCCGTGAATTGCATTAATAAAAACAGGAGTATCACAGTTAAATCGGGTTTTTTTTACCCTACATTCCCAAATAAAAATTTTTGAAATCGGACAAAAAATAAAGAAGTTACAGGCTTGTATCATATAAGGCCATTTTGACTAGTTTTATTATCACTTTTATTTTATTTTTTCTCTCAAATTCCATTATGATTTTGAATTATCATCAACAATGATTTTTTTTGGAATATATAGAGCTTGGCAGGGTATTAATTGCAGGAATTTTGTACCGTATCACTGCTTTTCAAATTTTTCATAGTATGCAGTCCCTGAAATTACTGGATACATCGAGAAGTTCTCCTCCCAGCAACTATTACAGCTCCGGAAAGTTATACATACGTATAAATCAACCCCGTCAGCATATACGCACCCTACCTGTTCGCCAACCACAAGCAACTTGTATGGGCTTGGGCTGGTAAGTCCCGTAAACCAACCCCAGGCTCTTCGAGAATGTCTGGTTAAGTGTTTCGCGGTTTCCCCATCAAAGCGAATTGTTTGCTTGGCTTAATTTATATCGGGGTGTGTGGAAAATTAAAACGATATAGATTTTCCCGGTCGCAATTAGGGGAGAACACGTGGAATGAAATTGGGAAGGTATAAAAAAAGTATACTCTTAATTATCGGAAAACACTTTTTCACAGTTTTGATGAAGTAAGATCCCAGCAGGAATTAAGGCCATACATTAAGTTTTGAATTGTTATAGCTAAGGGACTATTAAGCAAAAATAGTTTTTATCATGGTACCAATAATATGTAGGCTTTTGTTAATAGGAATTCAAAATTATTAAATTGTGACGCGAATTTTGACATTTTTACAAATATATAGTATGTTATAATTGTGTATTTACATATATTCAATTTTACAATTCTTTATGTTGCAGTTCATTGCTGTCAGTGGGAATTTTGTCTCAACAATTTCAAATGTTTCATTAATTATTTAAATGTCAGTTATTATGGAGAAATCAATTGTTGTCACACGATTTTCGGCCAATTATTACGTAAAGTTATTGAAATAATGATTATTCGTTCAAATCACCTCTGTTGGTGTGAAAAGAACTTCACCATATCTTACATGGTGGTTCATATTGGAACGAATGCGAATATATTTTTTCGAGATCGTAGAAATAACGTTATTACGAAATTTTGTTTATATATAACGATGTATTACAGAAACATTCTTTGCTGTCATTTTGTACTATCCTGTGTCATAAATTACTTTAAATGTATTACGCTATAAGTTCTATTTTTACGTTTCGTTTTAACTATATTTTAATTTTATCTACTACTGTTAATTGCAGTTTGTAAGATAAATAGTGCTAGTTTTTGGAATAATTATTTATTTACATGTTCAGAGAACGATATGACTTATAACCTCACTAATTATTTATTAGTTCTGAGTTAACGAATCAAGGAAATAAAATAAATAAAAATAGTTGAATTTGTTTCAACTTAACCGGAATTCGTGTTGGCTATATTTTTTCGTATAAAAATTTGTTCTAATAGGAAACAGTTTTAATCCACATTTATCACATTTTATTTTAATCATCACACATCACATATTATATGTTAACTTAAAATATTATTCTGTAATCATAATATATTTTTTATGTTCTAATTTAATAACGTATGCATTTTTAAATTATCTTGTAAATTTCAGAACTCGGTATTAAAGTCTTTTTAATTAACTAATCAAGATTCAAATTTATGCTATTTATGTCTTTGTTAATGTAAACCCAAACCAAACCCAAACTTTCAGATACCGGATTTTTTTTGGAACTTTCTTAACCGTCCAATTGAGATGATCTTTATAAGATAATTGCATCTTCTCCCCATGGGAAGGTTGAGAGAGGCCCAGAGAAAGGTCCAGTTAGTGCGTCCATTCAGTCAGGATTCTGAAGGGAACCAGTAGCAGGATTGTCACCCCTTTCAGCCTCTGATAGCTCTGTTGAGATAGGATCACCAACACGGTAAGTGTGTTACTTTTGACAAGTCTATAATTGATCGATATTTACTTACACCACAGGACACTCAAATCTTATAGATTTAACTTTTTATTATTATAGAGGAATAAAATATGTTCAAGCTGTGAAAAAACTGTATATATTTAGGACTAAAACTACTACAAGTGTATTATAAAGATTATAATCTACCATACGCGCCTAAAGTATGGAATAAATTAAGTAAAAACGAAACAAATTTTTTTGGGAAAAATCCTCGAACAGGTCGATTTTTAATTTAAAAAATACACGTTTTAGCATAAAAGGCGATTTTCAACCGTCATTTGTTTTCGAGTAACCCCTATTTTTTTTCCTGATTCTGAAATATCGTTTCATTGTCGATCCGACAGTATTAAAATGTTGCCATCTTACATAGGAAAGTTTTCGAGAAAATGACGATTGAATGTTAGAAAACGTAAATTTTATTCATTAAAAAAATAACAATCCCAATGTCAAGCAAATACAATTCATTAAGTTTTCTACCTAAATTAAGCGTTCGAATTGCCACCCACCGACTTCTTGACAATACGCAAGTCTGTGTAGAAATTCTTCTTGAACATTATGAATTATTTCTGGGGTAACTGTGTATTTCATCTATAATACAATTTTGGAGTTCTTCTAA